CCCCAAAACCCCAAAACCCCTTATTGCAGGATTTAACTGGGAACTTGTGATTATTTCATATCAAATTTAAGAAATCAAAATTAATTTAAACCAAAAATAGTAAATTCATGGTTACAAAGACTTAGGCTCCAGCTAAAAAAGAAATTTCTAAAAAACCAGTGGGAAAGTAATCAAAAAAAGATGAGGATGAAGCATATGTAGCAACAAAATCAGCTAAAGGTAAATAAAAGAAAGGAGGCGATGAAAAAAGTGATGTTAAGAGGCCTTTATCAGCATTTTTCCATTTTTGCGCTGAGAGACGTATATCATTGAAATAAGAAGATCCAAGTATGCCTATGGGTTAATAGACGAAAAAAATGAGTGAAGAGTGGAAAAATATGGATGCAAAGAAAAAAAAGAAATATGAGGATCTAAATGCAAAAGATAAGGAAAGATATGACAGAGAGGTAGAACAATCTGGAGGTGGAAATAAGAAAAAAAAGAAGCCTGCTGAAAATGGAGAACCAAAAAGACCTGTTAACGCGTATTTCTTGTATCAAAATGACAGATTAGAATAACTTAAAAAAGAATAACCTAATAAAAGTCATAAGGAGTGTACTCAAATACTTTCAAAGGAATGGGCTGATTTGGATAAAGCTAAAAAAGATAAATACGAGAAAAGAGCTAAGGAAGGTAAGGATTAATATGAGGTTGATAAAAAACAATATCAAGAATCTAAAAGTGTAGTGGCAAATGGTAATGGAAAAGCAATTGCAAAAAAGAAAGGCGGTGATGAGCCTCCAGCGAAGAAAAATGGTAATCATGCTGCTGCCCCTGCTAAAAAAGGATCTCAACTTGAGAAATAGCAGCCTTAGAATAAAAAAGGTAAGAAATAGGAATCGGAGGATGAAGAAGATGATGAAGATGACGAGAAAAAAGAAAGCGGAGAAGATGATGAGGAAGACGGTGACGGAGATGGAGATGGAGACGAGGAAGATGATGAGGAGGACGAAGAAGAGGAAGAGTCTGATTCTTGATCAATCATTACAACATTGATATAAAGATATAATATTGTGAATACTTAATTTTCCTAAGCTTACTCACTAATTAACAATATGTCACTTAAGTATATTTTGGCTAGCAGATGGTGACAAAGAACGAGAATTCTATGTAATCATTTCTCTTCAATCAGTTTTTATATCATTATTTTAGATGAATCTTTTTTGAGTCATTGAATACATAATGATGAAGAATCCAATAAAAGTAGCACCCAAAGTGCAGATAGTAATTTCTTGTAATTCCTCTTTTTTACCATTTGGAATCATATCGGCTGGAATGAAGTCTGGAGAATTGTTTTCATCAAGTACCATGTTTAATTTTGAAGAGCCTTTTGTTGATCTTGAAAACTTTTTAATATTCTTTTGATCACAATCAATGAAGACATCTGGATTTGGAAATGAGACATTTGTATATGATTGATTGTATCTTGCTGGCTGATATCTGAAATGGAATGGAATGTGAGCTTAAATATGCAAAATATATCTGTCGCCTAAATCAGTTCTTACTTCATGATTATGAATCCAGTTCGAATAAAGCTTCTTTTCCATATGAAGAGGAACTTTCCACAAAAATTCTCTATGCTTTGAAGCACTTGAAGGCTTTTCAATATCAATAAATTTACGAGGATAAAATTCGAATTTCTTCAATTCCATAGCTTCCTCCATATATATGTAGAGATCCTTTGTAATATTTTCTCTATATATGGTTATTAACACGACAAGATTTAGCGAATCTAAAGTTACCTGAAAATCAAATGGCATCTGAGTTCACTTGGCTTCTCAATCAAAATGGTTGTATTAGTTTGCATCTCTCTGTGCAACCCAGTCTTTTGAATTTCTCTAGTGACTTTCAGAATCTTTTGGCAATTTAATTAAGAAGCTAGAATACCAACAAGCAGTAGTGAAATAATGGCTTTCATTTTGTTTATTATTAAATTTGAATTTATCAAAGAAAAATGACAATATTAAAAAATTTTGGAAATCATTAGTAATTTAAAATCATTAATTAGTAGGTATTCCAATCTCTTCAAGAATTTTTGTAGGTGTTTTATCTATTAGCAATTAAAGACTGTTTTGATTTTTTACTGCGAAAGTGCCAGCAAATCCAAGTGAATTTACATTCACTGTTATCCCAGTTTCCTCATCTCTATATCCTTCTTTTGATCTTGGTGCAATTAGCATTATATTTTTCATCATTAAAAAATTGTAGCTAATTTCTTCTCCATTAGCCTGAATTCCTAACTACTCAATACACTCCCAATATTAATTTTCTAATTTAATAGCCTATTCTTCAAATGCATCGTAACTTTCATAAGCAGAGTCAAAAACTTCTGATTCTACTTTAGCAAATGTATGCTAGAAATTTGTAAATTAAGGTAAATTGAATAGATTGCCTTCAATTTTGTTCTCTTCTAAATACTTTACAGCTGCTTACTCAATAGGTAATGATTAGGAATTTAGAGACGCATAGGGTATAACTTAGATATGTTTATGTGGGATGCTAGCACCAGAATTAAAACCACAGTTGAAAAAAGCAAAGGCATTCAAAGCCTTGCATGTAAGAAGAGCAGCCTTGAAATCGTCAACTGTTAGAGGACTTGTTTATGGTTCAAATTCCTAGGTAACTATGATCACATGTTCCTCACACACACTATATTTATTGTAAATCAGAGAGTGAGTATCTGAAATTTCCTCAATAAATTATCCATCCTCGAAAGGTGGTAGAAAAGGATTTTTTCTTTCGAGTTTCTTAGCCTTACTTTCATCTTCATTTTAGGAGAGGAAATCTTCTTTCGTTCCGTCAGGTTTGTTATTGAGAGTCTCGATGACCTTTAGATCATAATCAATTCCTTGATCAGATTTCTTAATATTTTCTGATGTTTTTAAATACTAAATAGAGGGATTATTCTTAAAGTTTGTTTTGACAGCATCTTTTAGATGGACAAGGAACTCTTAGCATGGAAGCTCCTTAAGTTTTGAAGTAAATTATTTGGTTGCTGTTGATATCATGTTACTTAAATTTTATATCTTTAATAATTATATATTGTATTTAAGAATAATTTAATAGCCAATGATGAAATTTGCTTGCATTAAAAGCCGATCAACTCAATTATTCAATATGCAAAAATATTAATTCAGTTAGAAATTTGAAGGTCTTCGCAGACATTAATAAAGGAAAGAGGACTTAGGCTTACTATTAGAGAGATATCAGCTTAAAGTAGGATTCGAAATACATTGCCAAATGTTAACGAAACATAAATTGTTTTCAAGTAAAATTTTAATGATTTAACAGCAATAGCATCTCTTTGTACGCAACTCGAATAAGCAAACACAATGACAAACTTTGTAGATTTAGCATTACCAGGGATGCTGCCTGTACTAAATGAAGAATGCCTTGATTTGGCTATTAAAGCTTCTTTAGCCTTAAAAGGAAAAATCAATCATTAAATCAAATTTGACAGAAAACACTATTTTTACTCAGATTTACCTTAAGGCTATCAAATCACATAAAAAGATCATCCTATTATGGAAAGAGGGAAATTATACTATTTTGATAGGCTAAACTAGCAGAAATCCTTGACTATCTAAAGAATTCAAATAGAACAGGTAATTAAAATATTTGGGATTTTAATTTATTTAGGACTCTGCTAAAAGTTTTCATGATTTTGATAATTATGCTTTGATTGACTACAACAGAGCAGGAATGCCATTGCTTGAAATAGTAACTGAGCCTGAAATTGATCATCCAGAAGATGGAAAACTAGTTGTAAAAGAAATACAAGAGCTCTTAAAAGCGCTAGAACTTTCTGAGGCTAATATGGAAGAAGGATAAATGAGATGTGATGTTAATATTTCAGTAAGAGATAATGAAAGAGGCATCTAAGGAAACAGAGTTGAGGTAAAGAATGTGCTAGGAGCAAAGTTTGTTGAAAAAGCAATTGAGTATGAGCTTATGAGGCATGTTGAAATGATTGAAAAAGGATAAAATATTGTGAAAGAGACTAGGAGATACGATTCAATAAATGATAAAACAATAAGCATGCGCTCTAAAGAATAAGACCCAGATTATAGATTTTTCTAAGACCCTGATCTACCATGCATAATCATAACTCCAGATAGAATTAGGAATGTTGAGAATAAAATTAAAAAGACACCTTTTGAAAGAAAAGTGGAGTTTTAAAAATAATTCAACTTGGACATTATTGAAGTTTAAAACGTGTTCAGCTCTGATAAACTGATTTACATATTTGAGAAACTAGTAGATTTAAATGGTGCTAATCGTTTGCCTAAAGATATTTATAATTGGTAATTAAAACAGATTTGTATAATGCTTATTTAGGATTTTTGTCTTTGTTAATGGATAAGTAATTAAGAAGGATTTGAATCTTTTTGAAATTATTCAAAGCAATTGTAAAGATGGATAATATATAGCAGATTTGATTGATCTAGTTAAAACTGAAAAGTTATAGATTTTAAATGCAAAAGATATTTTATACAGAATTATTGATGGAGATGGAAGAATCCCAATAGCTATAGCTGAGTCCCTGAATATGATTAAATCAGATGAACTTAATTATAATAAAATTATAGATAAAGTACTTGAATAGAATAAAATAACTGTAGATAAAATTAAATAAACAGGAAAAGATGGTTAAGTTATGTTTTTAGTGGGATAGACAATGAAGGCAATCAACAAAAAAGGAGATCCTTAGAAAATTTAACAGATTATAAGAGAAAAATTAGGATTAAAATGATTATTTAAATAATCATTCTCTTTCAAGAAAGAAATTATGACAACAGGGGTTTTGGGGTTTTGGGG